CCGTTCAGTGACTGGCAATCTCCATTCACCTACCTTTAAGTCCCCCTTTCTCTCTCAATACCAACAACCAATCCATCAGCAAGTTCTGTTGATGCCCCCTCCAAATCTGTCCACTTTCACCATCCCCACTGCCAACAGCTTGACACAAGCCAAACCCCTCAATGATTTCCCACATGGTTAGGTTTAAACACCGAATCCTCGCCATATCTTCCCCAGGCCACTCTCCCTGTGCCCTCAGGACCTGCTGCCATCATTAGCTCACTTTCTGCTTCTATCACGTGAACCTAAGCTCCCCCCACCCCTTTAGGACCTTTGTACATGTTTTTCCTTCTGCCTGGAATGTTCTGCCATTTCCCACTCCTTCTCTCATACCTGTACCTGGCCAACTCCAATCGAACCTTCAAATCTCATTTTAAATGCCAGTTCCCCAGGGGGCTGTCCCAGCCTGTAATCTTCATCAAGTTCTCAGTCAAAATCTCACCTCCCTGATCATATTCTCATGAGCCCAGTACTCTTCATGGCACCTGGCACAACGCCTCCCACACAGGTAGGGGCTACGATGCTTTTGCTGGGCCTCAGCTAGCAACAGAGCTTCCTAGCACACACCAACTGCCAATAAGCATCTGGCAGAACAGGGCAGAATGCAACCCAAGTCAAATAACCCATCGAAACATCCATGTGCATTCAATAACCAAGAGGATGCTTTCAGAGTAGTTTTTTGTTATTAACTAGGTATAGGTCCCCACCCCCAATACACACACCCCTGAATCTTCAGAAGCAAAAAGCAAAAGGGTTGCCATGCCCTCTGAGCTTACCTGAAAATGCTCAACACAGATGGCAGAGACCCATGTGATGTTCTACCCATCACACTATATTTCCTAAGAGTTTTACACTCTCTTTTGGCATTTAAACAACAACAACAACAACAACAACAATGAAAGCACACCACACAGTCTGGAAGGCTCTGCTCCTCGGGATTCAGACGGCTTTCTTATCCCACACTTCAGTGCTCATTACACAACGAAACACACGAGACGCAGAACCACTAGCAATGTACCCCAAGGTGGAATTCCACACACACTTCAAAAGGAAACCCCCAAGATAAAATGGTAGAAACTTTTGAAGCCTTTTGCTGTTTTATAAGTACATACTATACCAAAATACCATCATTTCTGGTACAGAATCTTTTTTTTGCTGGGTACAAAGGAAGTTAAATGAAAGTCTTTGTACAGCAAAGACACCGGGGGTGGCGTCCAGAGGGTGAGCCACCCTGAGCCCAGCCGCTGGAGGCCGCTAGGCCGAGACTCAGGCAAAAGCACTTAGCGCAGCCAGCTGGTCGGCACTCATTCCGGAAGAGAAAAAATAAGAACAAAGAATTAAAAATGTAAATTTTAAAACACCATAAAGAAAGAAATATGAGCTACCTATGTAAATTAGAAAATGGACTGGGAGGCTGGGTTGGTAAGGAAGAATCTGGAACTTGTAGCTAGTGTCTTTGAGACTTTAGGAAGTAGATAAATGTTGGGGGGAGGGGGTGGTGAGGAGAGAATAAGGGGGGAGGGGAGGTGGAGAAGAGGGAATGAGAGACAAATCTGTTGTGCAAATTCCTATTTTAGGACCAGCCCCCCCCCCCAAAAAAAAATCAAGAAATCATCCTTGGGGAATAATTTCCTCTTTCTTTAAAACACAGATTAGGAGCCAATGGATTATAATAAATGAGACGCTGTATCAGTTACAGAAACTGAAATATGTGGAGTTTTCTTCTTAATTTAAATATAATTCGATCAATTGAACTCCAGTTATTAAGAACACTTATTCTACACATTAATTTTCTATAATGTGGTAACCCATGTACCACATGAAAATCAAATCCAATCAGATTAAAATATTCAGACAAAATGCTTTCAATTCCCATATGAAAATTCAGCCCCAAATGGGAACCGGGGAAAAGTCATTTTCTTAGCAACCTGTTACAGTCTCTAATAATCAAACACTGAACACTTCTTTATTTTCAAAAGAAAACATTAGAAATAATTATGAAACAGCTTGGCCCAGAAGTCACAATAAATCCAAATTTCGGAGAAATTAGGAAGCAATCGTTAGACAATTATTTTGAAACATGTCTGACGAAACACTGTGATGTGACAACACTTTATTTAAAAGAATGAAAAATAAAATATGAGGAAGAGCCCAGTGTCTGGAGAAAAGTTAGCCATTTGTCGGTGAATCTGAACATGAACCAGACTCTTCTGGCCAATACTGAGCCAAACGACACATCGGCCACAATGCAGAATGCCCCCTTTATACAGACACGCTGTACCTGCCAAGCCAGTTTTGGTCAGCACACTGCCCTATGCCCAGTGACAGGGTAAACATAAATTTGTAGTCCCAAAGTGTACGAATCCTCAATCCCAAAAACTGCATGTGGTTAATAACCTCCAGCCTTTCTTCCACCTCACTTCCCTACCTCCCTCTACTAACCGCCCCCCCAACATGCAACATTCCCCTCTTCACCCCTAGTGTCAGGTGAAGACTGCAGAAATGTACGATTACAGGGCTGACTCATATAACCGAAGACACTAGTCAGCTGCCACAAGCAGTGAGTATTTCACAAGTTAGGTTTCCTTTTGTCCAAGCTATGGCTTTTCTCCTCTTTCCAACTCCCAGAGCCCGCCCTCCACCACCAATTCATAACCTCTATGCAATGGCCCTACCCCCGGTCCCCAGACACAGACCAGAAAGCACAGATTGTATTACGGTTGCCAGCTGTGGCTCCTTCGGACAAGGGTCTCCATCTAAAGGGTGGTGTGTGCTCTAAAGTGGTTGCTATGGTAAACATCACTTGTAATAAACAGCAGAGGAAAAAGGAACCGAAGTCCCCTCACTGCATCCCTCGCCAAAATCCACACCGGCTCTGAAAAAAATGTTTTACCAACTCTCAGACTGTTAATTCTACATATGAAAATAACATCTTTAAAGCCTAAGTTGTGGCAACTGTTCTTATAGGATTTGAGGGGCAGGGGGTTCAAGAGGCGGGGGGCAATCGCCTACCTATCTCCCAGTGTGGGTAAATCCCCACTCTCACATGGGGACTGTAACGCCCACCAACATGGGCCCCTGAACCTCCATGCCACACCCACGAGACTGTGTCCGCTCTGAACCACTTCTAGGAATTGCAACTTCTCTCCACACTCAGAGAGAAAAAGCCTCGAAGAGATGTTAAAGATAACAACCTTTCTCTGCACATAAAAATATATATATAAGTGAATCCTACTACCAAGCATTTCTAAAAGCTGAGAAATAAATTTCAAAGCCTAGACGCACAGTGTGAAATTCAGGGAAGCAGGAAAAGTGAAATGGACAGGCTTCCTCATTCCATCCTCAAGGACTCTGCAACTACCCTAACTTTTTAAACATCGTAGAGTATCGCTGAAATTCTTTCGTAAACGGCATTCACTCTTCTAGGAGAAAGAGCCCTGAGCCGATGACTTCTTCGCACCTACGACACTGTCCTGATGGAGACGACGTGAGAGCTGGCTACGCGGAACCAGCCAAGGGAAGTTTCCTCTTCTTCCTTAGCAGAGAACGTTCCACGAGGCCCCGGAAAGGGAGCAGAGAACTGGGTCCAGTCCTCGCTCTGGCCACTAACACAGTGTGTGACATTGGGCAATTCACTTAAAGCATCTCTGGGCCGGTTTCCTTTTCTGAGAGCAGGTTGGGCCTCGCTGATCTAAGGTCACTTCCAGCCCTGAAATCTTGGCATTATAAACGCATGTGTAATTATGAGCATCCATTTTATTGCAGGGTTGGAGGAAGGAAATGTCAACCTTCTTTCTACATGCCTCATTTATAACCAAAATTCATAAGACATTTTCACCATGACTCAAGATGTGGCTTTGCAGAAATTGATAAATACACACACATACATATATTTAATATTCCTATAAGAGAGGCATAATTCATTAATATATACTCGATCATAGCAAGCTACAAAGTGAGGGGGCAGTTAGCCTGAATTTTGACACAATGCATCTTGAGATTTTTCTACTTAAGAAAACTGTTTTGCCATTTTTAGAAATTACAAGCAACACGGAGGCAAAATAAATTAATGGGTAACATTCTGTGATACTTAAATAAAAAATACATGAATTGTTTCATGCTTTGCATAATTCTACCTGTCATGGATTCGTTATAAAAATGTCTTCCATTAATTATTTCAAAAGTATAAAGTCCAGCTCATATAAATATACAGAGAATATTCTAATAAGGCTGAGCTCTCTTCTCAAGAGGTTAATTTATAAATTCCACTTTCAGAGCCTACAAAATCCTTAGAAAGTGTATTAAAAATATATGAAGACACACACGTTATGTTGTAGTCTCTTAGTACCACAAACAAATGGTTCCTGTATTAAACCCCCCACTTTCAAAGCCATGGAGGTACAGATTAAATTTAATTTAAGCCTTTCTAAGTTCATTTCTTGGATCAATCAATCAGCCCAGAAGAAACTGCTCTGATGTGAACGAAGAATGTTCCTTTCCAACAATTAAGATAAATCGGGGGGCTCGGGGAGCTTGGCAATTCTCCAAACTTCAGAGCTCCCCTTTAGAGTTTTCTAATACCCTCCTCTGTAACTTACCTCCCCCTAAATGACTCTGTCGGGAAAGACTCTGGGGGCTGTATTTTTTTTAATTGTCTTGATACCACGTCCTGTCTTCCCCACACCATGGTGATTGTGCCCTATTAACTGGAGCCCACAAAGCTAGATTCTACCCAATACTAGGAGAAAAGGGTGGTGGGAAATTTTCCAGGTAGGTAATAATCGCTAAAGTCCAATAGGAGAAAACAAGTACCTTCTAGATATAAACCATACCCAAATATACCAAACAAAATAGTTTTTCAAGAAAGAAAAACTGAAAAACAAGGACCGCTGTCAACAAAAGAACGTTTTCTTCATCTGCCCTCCAATAAAAAAAGTGATTGCCTTTGTCGGGTCACTTACAACGATGTGGGCTGGCGATGGAGAGCGGGCATCCTTGAGGGCTTGTCTGCTCTGGAGAGTCCCCGCCTGGACATCAAGCAGTGGCCATTTCATCTGCAGGTACTGGAAGGAGCAAACAAAATGAACATGGAAAATGAATTTAGAAAAGAAATGCAAAACAGCCACCCCAAAACTCTCGGGGTATATAGCAAGGAGCAGAAACTGAAAAACTCAAAGCATGCAGACAATAGCACTGAAAAACCTTTTAAAAGCATGCAAATAACATGAACAACAGAAAAAGTCATGCACAATCAACAGGTTCTTCCTTAGAGTTCATGTTCAACAGGTACATGTATATAACATCAATATTATTAACTCGTACAGGTGGCTTTGGATAAAATGATTTCATTAATACTAGCTCATTTAGAGGGGCGTAGAGGGGGAGAGGGAGTCAGAAAAAAAGGGAAGAACAAAGA